ACAGGGAAAATGAAAGCAGACACTCCCCCAAATGCTGAGTCATACTAACTCACGGTCTTGAAGGAAACATGAAGATTTCAGGTGCTGCCCTGGCCAGGTGGCTCAATCTCTTGCAGCTTCATTTCATTCGCTCACTTCAATCAAAGGGCATGTTCGGCTCCTGGTGAGGGCACAGACCAGGTTGTGGGTTAATCTGCTGCCCGGCATTTATGGAGGCAACAGGTCCATGTTTCCTCCCACATGGATGTTCCTTTTTTTTCTCTGTGCCCCTCCCTTCCTCTCTCTCTCAAAGCATTAAACATATCCTCTGATGAGGATTACAATTTTAAAAAGAATTAAGGGGCCCTAGCCTGTTTGGCTCAGTGGATAGAGCATCAGCCTTGGGACTGAAGAGTCCTGGGTTCGATTCCAAGCAAGGGCACATGACTGGGTTTCAGTTTGATCCCAGAAGGGGGCGTGCATGAGGCAGGCAATCAATGATTCTCTCTCATCATTGATGTTTCTATCTCTCTATCCCTCTTCCTTCCTATCTAAAATCAATTTAAAAAATTCTTTAAAAAATATTTATAGTTTCACATTGCAAAGAATTCAGTTAAGTCACTGAGGATTGAGTGAAATAAATAAATATATCTGCAATAACATATAGTTAAAATAATAATTTCATTTCAAAAATTGGCAAAAGATTCTGACCAGACATTGCAACAAAAGAGACAAAGACAGTATAAATAATTGCTTGAAAAAACATTCAACATAAAAATTTATTAGGGAAAATTTTTTTTAATTTATTAGAGAAATGGAATTAAAACAAAGCAAGTTAACACTATACTCATTTCTCGGCCTATTATTAAAAAGATTAAATATCACATGTGCTGGCAGGGTTGTGGAAAATCTAGAATTTTCATTACTGTGCGTGGGTGGAAAGCCAAAGGGAATGACCATTGTGGAACACAGTTCTGCATATAGTAACAGGTAAAACATTCATCTAAACTGCATCAGTTTGATAAGTAAACATATCTCTGTATAAAGAACTGAAGGCAATATTCCCAGCAGAATTATTTTTAATATCCCAAACCTAGAAAAGACTAAAACCATAGACAGATCAATAGGTAAACTGGTTATTCACAGAACACAGTATGACTCAGCCATTAAAAATAATTTACTATTCACATAAGCATTCGTGTTGAATCTCAAAATACTGTGTAGCATGAAGGAAAGCAATATTTCTATACCCCTTATAATGCTTCTGAAATTACTAAAAATATTAACTAATCTTAAAAAAATATTAACTAATCTTGTAAAGGAGGAAAATCAATGACTGCATTTAAGCCTGGGGAAGGCAGAAGGAGAGATTACAAAAGGGCAGGAGGTAACTACAGGGTGTGTCACAAGTAGGTGTAGAGCTGTTGGCATGGAAATTACTACAATAATATAAAAATAATAAAAAAACAAGAATAAACTCTTCCCTGGCCAGTGAACCTCAGGTGTTTGAGCACCATCCATTGCCCTAGAAGGTCACTGGTTCCATTCCAGCTCAAGGCACATGCCTGCCTGGATGCCCTGTAGGTGACATGCAGGAGGCAGCTGTTTGATGTTTCTTTCTAATATCACCATTTCTCTCTCTCTCTCTCTGTAGCTCTCTCTCTTTCTCTCTCTCTCCCTTCCGTGCTTTGTGAAAAATCGTTAAAGATATCTTTAAATATGTAAAATACTTACTTAGAAAAATAGAGTCAACTCTGTGTTTTGCATATTCACATCTATATGCCTGGTTTTTCCCTAACCTGTAAATGGGTGAGAGGTAAGTTTATGTCATATGTGACCGTTTCAGAACTTGATCCCTATATCCCTGGTCAACAAATAGTACAAATATACCTAAATAAAACCTTAAAATGTGCTTCCAAATAAAGGCCTATATAACCCTGTCTTGATAGAAAATTAAAATGATAACCCTATATGGGCTCTACCATCTCTCTCCTAATTTCCTGGGAGCACCAGCCTTGCCTCAGTGGAAGCAAATATTGGCAAGCAGAGAAAACTATAGCCATCAGAATCAACAGGAATGCTGACTGGGTCACAAATGCCACATCCTGGGACTGACTACAAGATTACACTTCCTCTAGCTTTGAGGTCTCGCCTGTTGAGCAAACCTTGAGGTGAACACCTTAGAGAGGCCAGAAGAGGACACAGACCCTTTAGATTATTTTCTCTAAGAATGACTTTATCCACAGGAAACAGTGATGGAGGAACTGAGGACGCCTGTCCACAATGACCACACAGGTCACACGTCCTTGGTCATTTGTGGGTAATGTTCAGATGAGGTGCGATTCAATAATTCTCTTCACACTTTCCCACTCACCATGAAGACAGGGATTCTGACCCAGTTGTAGTTCAACCTAACCCTCAGAGTCTCAATACAAGTGACACCAGCCTATGAAATGTCATTCATAATGGCACAGGGCACCTTGACAGTATGTAATACACCCTGTGAACGGAGAATATAATTCACATTGTTCACAGAAGCACAACAAAGCCCCCCACCCCCATCTTCAGGATGACCTCAGACCGCAATCATAGGAGGCACCAGACTGCAAATGAGAACCACCAAGTCATGCCCGCTTTCTTTCCAGGTCTTGGGCAGCACTGCATTACAAGTGAATACTGGACAGTGATTTTCTGACTCCACGATTTGCCTCCGGGAGCACAGCAGGTTGGGGATTCCCACAATGTCTGTTCCCCTGGACATGCGGGCAGATCCCAAGTGCGCTTTCAAATCAAGCCAGGCAATGCATAGGACCAACAAAATGAAAGGTACTAGTACATGAGTAAAAGCACCTGGACAAAAACATCATAAACCAGAGACGTGTTAGAAAATTCCATGGGTTTGCAGGTTGGTGAATTGGAACCTGAAACAATTCATCACAGCATAAGGTGAGAGCCACGATGTCCCTGAGAGAGGTAGCTCTTCTTAGCTGAGGATGGGTACGCTGGATGAACCCTCAATAACTCCATTTCCTAGTCAGAAAAGAATGAAGATCCTGCCAGAAGCTTGGAGTAATCACAAGTTTGCTCAGGCAGAGGTGAGAACACAGAATTCCTTTTCCCTGACCACGCAGGGGCTGTGACTGAGGCACCCTGTTCAGGTGAGCCAGGTGGTGGAGGTGAACTCGCCTCAGCCAGGAAAACACCCAGTGATTTCAATCGGGTAGGAGGCCCTAGCAGCTTAGCAAGTGCCACGCAGTTATTTAAAGCATCGCTTGTACTTGAAATTTTATGAGGAATCTAGGGGAGTGCATGTTGTGAAAAAAGGGGTTTATGTTCCATTAAATGTGTATCAAAGAGACCCCTTCAGGGTTGTTATTGTCAATGAGAAAAAGAAAGTATTCGGAGCACATTTAAAGCTTTTCTCTATTATGAACAATCAGGTGTCTAAGGAGGTGATATTTTTGGCTAAAACGTTTTCCACATTCACTACACTCATGAGGCCTTTCTCCTGTGTGAACTCTCTTGTGGTTAAAAAGGTGACTATAGCATCTAAAATATTTCCCACATTCACTGCATTCATAAGGTTTTTCTCCAGTATGAATTCTCTGGTGTTCAGTGAGGGCATGCCTTCCTCTGAAGGACTGTCCACATTCACTACACTCATAAGGTTTTTCTCCAGTGTGAACTCTCTGGTGCTTAGTAAGCGTACTGCTTTCTCTGAAGGACTGCCCACATTCACTACACTCATAAGGTTTTTCTCCAGTGTGAACTCTCTGGTGCTTAGTAAGCGTACTCCTTTCTCTGAAGGACTGCCCACATTCACTACACTCATAAGGTTTTACTCCAGTGTGAATTCTCCTGTGCGTAAAAAGGTGACCATGACATCTAAAAGATTTCCCACATTCACTACACTCATAAGGTTTTTCTCCAGTGTGAACTCTCTGGTGTTCAGTGAGGTTGTACCTATGACTGAAAGCCTTGCCACAATCTGTACACTCATATGGCTTTTCCCCAGTGTGAACTCTCTGGTGCTGATTAAGAACAGAGATATACCTGAATGACTTCCCACAATCACTACACAAATAGGGCTTTTCTCCAGTGTGAAGTCTGTGGTGTCGATGGAGGTTACTCTTATATCTGAAGGCCTTCCCACAGTCACTACAGTCATATGGCTTTTCTCCAGTGTGAACTTTCCTATGTCGAATGAGCCTAGAGATTCCTCTAAAAATATTTCCATATTTGTTACATTCATATTTTACTTCCCTAAAGCAGTCGTTCTGTTGAATAACATTCTGGTTGTGGCTGGCAGTATTTTCACATTGACCCCACTGGTTATGACGATTTCCACTGAGAAGTTTACGGGAAATCTCACTGCCAATGTGTGGCTCCTCAGTGTCGTGAGGGGCCTGGGGCTGGAGAAGCTCTGAGATGGCTGGCAAGTCTTCCCCAACCTCCCTACTGGATGAAGGCAGCCCTGATATGTAGCAGCTGCACCTGGTCACAAACGAGGCCCTGTCCAGAGCTTCTTTCCAGGGCTTCTCTCCACTGGCTCCCCTCTGTTGTTGGCGAGGGTTTGCACTGAAACAGAAGTCTCTCACCCATTCATCACTTAAGGAGGCTTTTTGCTCAAAGTATGCTGCCTGTGACTCAGTCAGGAGCAGAATATCTTTGAACACAGAGAAACACCGCTTACACAGATGGGTCCTCTGGGTTGCTGGCTCTGTCTTAGACGCCCTGACCTGTGACTCTCCTTGTACACATACACTCTGCTCAGGACAGGCCTCCTCATCATCCATTTTATGCCAACAACCTGAAAACAGAGAAATGAGGAGGAAATGGATGTTGACTACGGTGATGAGGGAAGTTCCATTACAAAAATATGTTGCACATCATACATGTGTTCCATGCAATTGCCTGAAAATAAGAGATGTGCTGGAAGGATTTGGAAAAGGCTCCTGTGAAGTTCTGGAACTCTGAATATCACAAAACAAGGAAAGCCTCACCAGAAATATGACACAAAAATGGCAAGCACCACATAGAATTGAAGCATGATCATCAACTCCTTCTTCTGCTAACAGTGTTCAGCAGGGCTTATCTGCTGATGACATGGGAAAGCTGTGCAGAAGGTTTCTTATGTCTTATTTCTAATAAAATTCAAGAGCAGAGGTTCTAGGACTACTTAAGCATGTATGTGCACCTCATAGCACACGTGCAGGTCTATGTAGGATAATATTGCACAGGGAGCAGTGCCCAGGGACAGGTGATGCAAAAAGGTGACAAAGGTGAAGGTAGCCAAAAGCCATGAAGATAAAGATGAAATGATCAGGTCATCAAAATGTCAATAAATGGTAAAGAAAATGTAGAAATAAGGTGTGGACAAATGCACCGGCACCAAAATATGGTTGGACACAAGCGGGTTCCTGGTGTGATCTTAAAGAAGCCCTCATGTGATACCTTCCCCCAGTTTCCACTCCGTAGGATCAGGCCTCATCAGAGACCATCTTCCCAGTTCACCCTGAGAAAAAACACAGCGTTCTCCATACACTTTCTACTCTATAAATACATTCAACCTAAATACTCAGAGTATTAATGAAAGACAAGGGAGGTGAGCAGTCAGCACTAACTCAGAGCAATTCGGAATGCAATAGTATTCAGGGAAGGAAATATTACAAACAACAATTGAGGTAGGATGTTACAAGTACAGCTACGGTTCATGTAAGTAAAGACGATAACCTGGCACAGGCTGTCACAAAGAGCCTTACCTGGATGAATGGTGCAGAAGTGGAAGCCATGAGGACAGAATCACCTTCCCAGGAAGACAAAGTTCAAAGTAGGTTCTATTAAGCTCATTGCAAGACTCCTGACTGCCAGACACTTTTTACATTTTCTGAGGCAGTGGGTGTAAGGCGTGCTTGGGGAGTCCAGAGATCAGACTCCCCACACAGCTCGCCCCTGGCAGCCACAGCCCATTTGAAAGGACAGTGGGGGATATTAGTGGAGCCCATGGTCTGGTTGTGAGACCTATGTTTGGAGAATAAAGGAAGAGTAGACATCACCTTAGGACATTGGGAGAAACGTGAAGGTCTTACCTGCAGATGAGACAAGTGCAAACACTTCCAGCATCACATTGCAGTAGAGAAGTCTCTGAGCCTCATCAAGGAGCCCCCACTCCTCCTCAGAGAAGACAATGGCCACATCCTCAAAGTTCATATTCTGTCATAATGGGGACAGTTCAAGCCATGATTAGCTTCTCTCTTAGGATTTCAAGTTCTTCATACTTCCCACCCTCCACATCCATTTCCTCCCTCTACAATTCATCCGACAAGACACCAGACCTTGGACCCATCAAAGTCACTCTCTCCTTATATTCCTACTGTTACTGTGTCTTCCCACAACAATAAAGGCAGTTGAGCAGATAGAAGATACCTGAGCTCTGGGCCTCACATGTAGCCCACACTGCCTCTTGTCAATACAGAGGGTGTGACCCACATAGGGAACAGAGAGATGTTGGCTATAAAGAAAATGTGAATGATTCATCACTTCTTTTGTCAGGCAATACTCTTGTATTCTCCATCAGAAACATGAAAAAACATGGCCTTGTGCTTCACCCTTCTACCTCTGATACCATGGTGTTGAGGCCATCACTTTGCACTACCTGCTCAACATAATTCTTTGAAACACACTTCTCTCACACAGCTTCATTTCCAGGGGCACATCCTCAGAGGCAACACAAATTTGCTTTCACGAGAACACTTTATTTCCTCCTCATCTTCTCTTCCAAATGTCTAATTCACAGCCTGTGTAATGTGTTTCTCTCTCTTCCTATCACCCATCTCCATTCCACTGCAAACATGTAAGCCCAGCAGACAGCAATATCTGCTATCTCCTTCTCATTGATCAATGTCAGCCCTGGACAACCTTAGGAAGGTGTGCATCTATGTGACACCTCATCTCTGCACCTGGCAGGTCTCACCATAACACCCCTATTTTCAGACAATTACACTAAAATTCCTCATAACCTATCATATATCATATCAGCCAGTAACCACCAAAAATGGACTCACTCCGTTTTCACCCTTATTGCAACATCCAGTGTCCTGTGGCCATGAATTCACACTCCCTCTCCAAGGGCACATCACTCCCTCTCCCACACCTCTCCCACCTGCACTCCCACACCCACAGCCCCCACTGTCATCTCCTTGACATCCTACTCATTACTCAGCATGTGTGTTTTAGTGACTGCTTGGCAAATTCAAACAGGAATAAGTTCTACACCAACTCTGAGAGTCCACACTCATTGAGGCAGCCTTGAGCCCTGCTATAAAGGCCTCACTGCCTGACTGTGTTTTCCTTCAACCTCACCTATTGAGAACCACATCACGTCTTAGATATCCAGAGCCCACCTCCACCAGCGCTGCACATGATCTCTCCTCCCCAGTCACAGCCCTCACCACTCAAGTCTCATGGCCATTGGCCCTCTACCCATTGTATCAAAAATCAGCTAGCTGGACAAGATGCCTTAATGAGCCTATTAGGAGTCATCTCTATTGGGTGCAGGTTCAGAACAGATTACCTCTGTCAAATTCTGAACACCCAAAGGAGGAATAATTCTCTTTTATATATTTCTTAGGTCCTTGTGTCAGTTATTTTTGTAGATAGCTTGGAACCTTGAGTACATATCATATCTAGCAAACACCTGTCATATCTATACAGACTCCTGTAACTTTGAGTATCATATCTATACAGGAACCTGGCATCAATATCAGAGTATCAGTGAGATGACTAGCAGGCAAGTTCAGGCAATAAAGTTTATCTTTTCTATTCAAAAAAAAGCAAAGTTACTTTACAGCCTAATTAACAGAGTTGACCTACAGAATAAGAGATTGTCTAAGCATCACAGAGTAGTTCAAACAGCAGTTTTCCAAAGGAGGGATTACTATGCTTCACCCCATGCCCAGTGAGTCTCACTGATGGCCATTCATGCCCCTAAGCAAATCAACCAGACTGAGTGCAACACCCCAGGCCACACCAAGACTCAGAGAATATTCCTGGTGAGTGTTGAATAAGTCAATATACACCAACCCCAATCTCACCTTGTTTCCGTGGATCTAGGGCCTCAAATTAAAATAAAATGATGATCTACAACTCCTCTCAGTTCCAGGCGGTCTTCACTCCTTTTGAGTAGTCTTCGTCTTGAACAACTCCTCCGAGTTCCAGATGCTCTTTAACTGCTCTCTGAAATATCTCACACCCTAACAGGCCAAAGTAAGTGTTTGTTTGTTTTTATCTGCAATGAACATAAACCTTCCAACTATGAATGTCTTCATGCCAGATGATGGTGCTTCTATACCCCAGATGCTAACTACAAACCTTCATCTCATCTCTGACTCTTACCTCTCTCTCTCTCTCTCTCTCTCTCTCTCTCTCTCTCTCTCTCCCTCTCTCTCAACGTCAAAATTAGAAAATCCTGGTGGCCACACCTAAAATACCAATCTCGGATCCAAATGTGTCTTTCATCTCCATTGCCACCATCAGGAGCCAGTTACCAACACACTCTCCCAGACCAGTGGTCAGCAAACCGCCGCTCGCAGGACACATGGGGCTCTATGGCCCATTGAGTGTGGCTCTTCCACGGAATACCACATGCGGGCGCCCACATACAGTGTGATTGAAACTTCATGGCCAATACACATGTACCTGGGGATTGGGCGAGTCTATTTTGAAGAAGTGGTGTTAGAAAAATTGGAGAGTGTCAGATGGATGGGTGATGGGAGACACAGGGCAGACAGGGGCCCAAAGGATATGCAGCACGGGAGAGGCGCATGATTCGTGCACGAGTTGAGGATGGGAGAGTTGGAAGGGGTTGACCTCAGCGAATGTACCTCAGTCAGATTGAGGACGTTTTTAGCAAAGGCCAGTTTAGGAGTACCCTCATTAAGTTAATAACAATGTACCTACCTATATAGTTTAAGTTTAAAATATTTGGCTTTCAAAAGAAATTTCAATCTTTGTACTCTTGATATTTGGCTCTGCTGACTAATGAGTTTGCCAACCACTGTCCCAGATGATCACACCACCTCCCCCTCATCTATATTGCTCCCCATGCTGCAGCCACCGGGCAACTAATGAGACCTGAGTCAGATCACTTGCCTCTGCTCATCCAAATCTCCTATTGCCCACATCACCTGCAGAAGAGACAACCTTGTTGTCACAAACCTCCTCTAGACCTGACTCCGCACCCATTCTCACCTGTTCCCATAAAAAAGAAAAGCATTCCTCCAGGTTCCTGAACCAGCTGTCTTCACTCTGAGCCTCTACCACATGTGAAACCTGTGCCTGGAAGGAACTTGCACATCTCATTCCACTGTTTTCCAGAAAAACATGGACCACTTCATACAACCTTAGTCATGGACTTAGGATTCTGGACTCAGTATCTGCAGGTCCCATGGCAGGAGGAGGGGCGGACAGTCCCAGGACAACACGACCTCAGAGGGCACGAGAGTTTGAGGTACTGAAATCAGCTCCACAACCCAGACCCCTAAGTGGCTCTGCACCTGCAGGAACCTGTGGGAACTAGAGGTCTGTTGAGGGCCTGGCACCCACCCCAGGACCCAGGGGCTCAGGCTGCTCAGGGCCCTGGCCCAGCCCTGGTGCTGGCTGAGGCCTGCATTCCTCCAGGGCTTGGTCCTCAGTGCACACTCTTGTCAAGTTCCTTATCTTTCAAAGGACTCCTCCTTCCCGTCCCTAACTGCTCTCCTCTCCCTTTTAAGGTGAGATTGTTATCAGCAGTTTGGGGAAATGTTTAGAACCCTACCTCAGACAACGTCCCTCTGCTGTTCACAACCACCCATGGCCCCAGCGTCCTGAAGATGAATGTTAAGCTGCTCACACAAAACTTTGCCTCATATTCTTTGTTGCCTTTAATCACAAAACAGACCTGGGTTTCCCGAGTCCTCACAGCTCAGCCACACCCCACGGCCTGACTCAGTGGCATTGCAGCCCGTCACCATCTTTCACCCCATCACATGCTGTGTCACCTACAAGCTACTCACTGTTCTGGGTGCTGGGACGCGCGCTGCAGGGCCTGAGGGACGGCAGCTCCTTAGGATGGAGGGTAAATTGGGTGAGGCTGAGTTGACCTCAGTACGCAGAGAGGAGTCTGGGAAGCATGGAGACCTCAATCACGCCTGGTGAAGGTCAACAATCCTCAGACACTCCCTGCACAGTGGAGACACTGCCTCAGACAGCTTGTCCTAGTCCTGATACCTCCTACTGGGATTTCTAACTAAGTCGATAGAACAAAGAGGTGAAAATGACCACCAGGAGGACTAATCTGGAAGCCACGCCCAAACCAATGAACGCCAGACTCATGCGCCTCTCCTCGGCTTTCATTGGCTAAAAGCAGCCATCATTAGGCGCATTGCTCTTTGGGTAAGAAACTTTCAAGGCGGCGAAGGTGGCATTAGGATCCCAGTCACTGGCTGGCCATTGAGAATATTGGTGTTGGGGCGCCCGAATGGCTGTGGGAAATGACAACCTTACGTTTTGGTGGCTGGTGGAAGGGTTATGGCCAGAGTTTTTATTTTTAACACAGAAATAGCACATTATTAAGAGAAAAATAAGGCTATAAGAATATATACATAATTCTATCCTATTAGCTTAAAAGCAATATTTGAAAGGACACAGAGGCCAACAAGTGGACATTTCCTACATTGTCTGCATGTCTGCAGTCAGCACACATTGTGCAGCTATGGAGCTAACAGTTACTGAATGTTCACTACATGTGCCAGGCTCTGGATTCAATGCTTTACCTACATTACTATTATTTCACTCAATCCTCTCCATGACTTGAGATCATTTCATGATCTATTTTGTCAAGATAAAATCAGGACTCAGAGACCTGAGGTAAATTGCCTGATTGTAGAATTAATAAAGGCAGGGCTGGAAGTCAAACCCATGTGTCTCTATAACACAGCTCTGGCTTCTAATATTAGGCTCTGCTCCCTCCTAGAGGGCAGAATATGAGATGCATTCCCATTAGGACAAGCTAGATCTTATTATGGGTAATAAAAAGTCCCAAAGTTTTAAGGGATTTTATCAAAAAAGGTGTCTTTCGTGTTCATACCCCATGTGCACCCTTGTTCACCTGAGACCAGGATAAAGGAGAGGCCACCCATGTATGTACTGCTGGGTGTTATCAGAATGGACAT